GCAAGGGGTTTGGGGGTTAGGCGGTTGGTGACTTTCAATAGAGCCTTGTTAGGGAAGTAGTTGTGGCGTTTTGCTTGGGAGCAAGATAGACTCTGGCGAAGGGTGGTCGCCTCTATGTATGGGGTGGGAAGGGAGGATTGGGTTTCTGGAGATGTGACTAGCTCTCATGGTTGTGGGCTTTAGAAAGGGATTTGGCTGGGGAGGGAGGAGTTTTGGCGGTGGGTAGGGTTCAAGGTGGGGGATGGAGTGAGGGTGAGGGTGAGGGTGAGGTTTTGGAAGGATAGATGGTGTGGTGAGGTTTCATTGGAGACCCGTTTTCCTTTGATCTTCGATATTGTGGTTGATTGGGAGGCTACAGTGGCATCTTATTTGGGGGGTGGGGGTGTGGTGGTTTGGGCTATTCAGTTGCGGCGGTAGGTGCAAGATTGGGAGGTGGCTCAATTGGTGGAATTGTGAGGACAGAACCAACTAGGGTGGGTGGTGGGAGATTTCTAAAGAATGTGACTGGAAATAGGTCATAATTATCTTATAAGTCTAGCTTATATTCAAGTGTATTAGAAATATAATTAGTTTTTCTTTTATCTTTTTTTTTTAAAATATATTTTATATCAACTAATTATGTGTTTCATTGTTATAGGATGAAAACACAATCACCTGGTAAGACGGATCCACTAGATAACTTCTTGAAAATAAGGGGGTACTTTGAAGTTTGATACATGTTGAACTTTCAAAGTGGCAGAATTCATACTCAATTTAGAACTAACAAGCTTAACTCAAAACCATCAACCACACCAATTTTATTCGTTTGAAACTTATTTAAATCCATGTTAATTTCATAAATAGATTAAAAGTATTGTATTTTATTTATTGCACTCATTTTCATACACAATAAACAATACTTTCAAGTTTCTTAACATGTGCCCTAAGGACACACATTAATAAAATTCATATTATATTTAATATATATTCTATAGTTGTACACTTGCACTTTGATATTATATTATATATATATAGATTGTTATTTTTTTAATTTTAAGAACTATATATATGATTTTATGTATATAAATATAAATGTATATATTTTATTAAAAATATAAAATGAAGTGAGTCTTACAATTCACAATTCATTTTATTGAGAAATCAATTCAGGATTCAATTCACGATTTGACACTTGAAAATAAGATTTATTAATTTATTTTTGAATGGACAACATTGCTCTAATTCTCCTCAATAATTGTTAGAGACACAATAGGACAGAACCAACTTGAGAAGGTGGTGGGAGATTTCTAAGGAATGTGGCTAGAAATAAGTCACAATTATCTTATAAGTCTAGCCTATACATGCGAAACAGAATAATTCCTAAATCAAGCCATCCCTCTCACCGTGATAGCCTCAAGCTATCTCTTGACCACCAAGGATTCTCAAGAGTTTTTTTTTTCCTAAAGTTTTCTAAAGTGGTGTGTTGTATGGGTGAGATTTAATGCTAAAAAATTGATGTGACTTGTCATTAAATCTCAACCATACAACGCACCACTCTAGAAAACTTTAGAAGAAAAAAAAAACTCTAGAGGATCCTTGCTCTCTCTTGACAGCACCAACATGATAGCCTCATTTGGAATGCTACTGCAAATATCTCTCCGTGAATGTACAACACAACCAGGCTATCATTTGTCAACTAATTACCATTTTCCTCGTGAAGACTGTCCTTCACAATCTTCTTAGCAGAAAATGGCCCATCTATTGTAGCAGTCGCAACAGGTAAAATCCTTTGATCTCAGTATGATGATTTACTTCTTCACAGCCTGTGGTTTTGAGATTATTGTGAATAAGATATTCCTTCAATCTAAATCAAGCTAAACCTTACCTCCTACCCAAGCTTGCTAATTATTGCCACCAGAGTTAATTAACAAATTCAGGCATAAGAAGCTGTTCCACATGACCAGGTGATATGAAATTGGCATGAACTCAACATAAAAATCCAATATGCTCCTATTCATGACGACAGTTGCACAAACAAAAATTTTATAAGAAAAAAAACAATTGGAGTTTAAAAAAAAAATGTGTACCCTCCAAGGCCAAAGAGTGGTAAATGAAGTTTCAGCCATAGAGAAAAATGCAGAGAGACCCAGAAGAGGAGCCAAAACGAAACCTTGCTCTTTGAAAACCCGAAGATCCTGCAAAAGTTTCGGCCAATAACTCTTCAATAACAATATGCTCTGTCCTATAACCCCGTAACCCGAATCCACAATCCCTTCCACCGCAAAAAACTCTTCGGCAACCAAACACTAAAACCCCAATAACAGTAGCAGCCAACACAATAATTCCCCGCTTTACAAAAAAACTCTAATTTCAAACTCCTATGAAAGTGGATAATTGTACTTTTTGTTTTTTTATTTTTTATAAATAATAGGTTGTCAATAATTGTACTTTTTTATAAAAACAGATTACGGATAAAGTAATAGGTTGTCAATAATTTTTTTTATAATTTAGTAGTTACAAAAGGTTTTTTATATATATAATTATTAAAATTTATTTTTATATATTAAGATACAAAAAAATTATTATTATAAAGATTTAAAAAATATAAAATAAGGTTTTGTTGTTTTATAGTTTAACAATAATCAATATAAATAATATAATTAATTGATATCTGATAACAAAATGAATATGTTATTGTAATATGATATCTGATAATACAATTATAATTCACTAATTATTTAATAACAAAACCCAAATTATTGGAAAAAATTTGGGAGAAAAAAATAAGGCAAAATTATTCAATTAAATTGTGATAAAGAGAGGGCAAAAAAGTTAGGGCAAACAAAATTAAGGAAAAAAAATTAGGGTAAAATATTCAATTAAAATATGATAAAGAGAAAGGGCAAAAAAATTGAGATAAAGTTATTTATTTTATTAAAATCTTGACGTTAGACTTTATTTGGACTCATTATATATTTGTTTAGACTAATTATATAAATTTTTAATTGGGCTAACAATAATTATAAATATATATTTTTATTTTGGCTCAATAGCTTTTCTTGAGGGGCCTTTTAGATTGGGCCTCAAATAATAAAAAATGACTGAGCTTTGAACTTTTAAAATAATATAAAACTAATAAATTTGAAGTCTTATTTTGACCCAAAATTTAAGAACCCTAGGCACAGGTCTTAGTGGCATTAACTTAGGGCAGCATTGGTATTCATCATCATCATCATGCTCTCAAACCAGTTGAAATTGTGGGAACAAGTTTTCGAAACAAGTGGGAGAATGCGAAACGACACAAATTATAGAGCATCTCCATTCTTAGGGTTTTTTTTGGAAAGACGATTTTTGTTACATTAATGATTTATTCACTTAATTTATTCAGTCAGAATAAGAGCCTCCCATGAATTTTCAAAATAGGAAACTGTGATCGGGAAGAGTCTCATTCGGATAAATTCAGGCTAAACAAATTCGATAGATGTAGTGGTGCTAATTTTTTTAATAATGTTTTAATTTTTTTAGACAAATATGAGAAGAAAGAAAGTGAAGTGGTTGGGAATTATTTTTTTACTTAAAAAAAATTGCAAAAAAAAAAATAGAGAGAATAAAAGGATATATTAGACTGTCTTTATGATTTTTTGACTCTTTTTTTTTCTTTCTTTCTTTTTTTTTTTTTTTTTTTGGTAGCCTTTCTTGACTACTAAGATAAATTAGCTTATTGCCAAATAACCCCGTAACTTTTTTCTCTCTTTTTTTCAACTTTATTTTTTTTATATATCAAATATAATGGAGAAATATATATTTTTTTTCATCAAATTTTAAATGATAAGGGTATTGGAAATATTTTTTTCATCAAATTTTATGAAACAAAAAAAAAATTAGAGTAAGAAAAAAAAAATTAAAATTTTTTGATGAAAATTAATGAAATAATTGAAATAGTTCATGCCAAATCAAATTTTTTATTCAAATTTAAAATCAAATTAGTTTTAAAAAAATGAAACAGAAGGTTGAATATACACTTACCCTTAAAAATTTGATGGGCTTATTTTTGGGTATAGCCAACGTATGTGTGTAAAAAAAATAATGATAAATAAAAAAATGCAAGTGTAAGATTTTAATTCGCATAATATTCATTAAATTTTCATTAATAATTTATTAGTTATATAAATGAAAAGTGATGTTATCATCTCTGTTATATTAAAAATATATATTCTACCTTATTTATCTTGGTGATTTTGCACCATCTGTATTAGTCTTGATCCATTTAATTTAACATTATTAAAAATAATATCAGTATAATTATGTCAAAATTATAAATAAAATAAAAAAAACTAATTATCATCAATTCTATTTATGGATAGAAAGGTGTGGAAGAAACAAGATGTCCGAAGCTCACCTAATGGGTAAAAAACAACGCTCAAAGAGTAACATATAACATTATTTTTAATGCGAATTCTCTATCTAGTAGCCAACATTTCTGTCATTCAAAATGATTAAGAATGTAACAAGGGAAATGGTTTGAATTGTAACTTATAAGATTGCATTTCGAAGTTAAAAACTTTAGCAAAGCCTAGTCTTTTGTGACTGAAATCCAAATTAAAAGCAGCTACATACAAAAGCACACATCTCTAAAGGTTGCTACATGATCCGAGAAAAGAAAGAAGAAAGAGTCATGACAAGCAACTCTTATTTAACTCGTGCTTTAAGAAAACCAAACAACTTAACAAAGCTTTAGGATTCAATACTATACAACAACAAGGGTAAAGCTTTGGAAGTGATCCTGCATAGCTGCTCTGCGCACACACTCAAATGCAGCACCTAGGTTAGACACTCCTTCAAGTGGATACCATTGCTTTATTGTGCTACCTAATGGAACAGACCTAGTTTTGAAATGAAAACATCATTAACTCAAATATAGCATATACATACAAACCATAAAAGATAATTCAACAAAGTAAAGCTTCAAAGATAAATTCTACTTACCTAATAATGCCTTTTGTTCGTGCTGATTTCTTCCTTTATTGCATCAGTGGGCTCCATTCTTGGGATAAGTTAAGACCCCGAAGCGAATTAAGCCCCCCAATGGATTTCGGAATGTCTCCATGGAAATTGTTTCTTGAAAAATCAATGATTGAGAAGACTGTTAAGATTCTTGATAATTTAATCTCATATCCTTTAATCACCACCAACACAGAATCTTGATGATATGTTTGGCCCATGTATTTCAATTTCATTTCATGTTCATCAACATTCATCATAGCTCCAAATTGTTTGATATAATTTGTCGGCAAAAGGCCAGTGAACTCATTGCACGATATGTCAATAATTCTCATTCGAAAATGATGTTTGCTCTTGGTCTTGGAGGTGTCCATGTGACCATGAAACCTATTAAACCTCAAGACAAGAACCTGCAATTCTGGAAGAGTTTCCAACCAGTGGGGGAATGTATCATTTATCTTGTTTTTTTCCGAGATCTAGACCTTCCAAGTGTCTACAATTGAGCAGAGGAACATCTCCTTCGATTTGGTTGTCATTCAAGTTAAGACTCCTCAACATGTTGCCTTTTGTAAATGCTGCAGTAAAGATGCCACGAAAGCTATTCATCCATAAACTCAACACCGAGAGATTAATGCTTATGTTTCCCAAACATTGTGGAATCACACCACTCAAATTGTTATTAGACAGATCAAGAACTTCAAGTGCTATCAGACTGCAAATCAATTGAGGGATTTCTCCAGTCAATTTATTGTTTGAGATAGAGAAAACAATTGTGGAGATAGGTGGAAGAGGGAGTGGTCCTCGGAATAAGTTGGAGTGCAGGTTAATATATTCTAGATTCTTTAATGGAAGACACTCTAAACTTGTAAGGAAATTATGAGAAAGATCTAAACTATCCCATGTATTTTTTCCCACATCGAATATCCATTTTGGAACTTCACCATGAATTTTGTTGTTTGAAAGATCTAATGCAATCAAATCATGCAATACTCTCAAGAAGTTTGAGAATTCACTTAAGTTGCAAGAAGCTAATCCTATAGTCTTAAAGTAACGTAAGGTAGAGTTGACACTATTGTTGATGTTCAATGAGAGACCATTATATGAGAGATCAAGATAGTACAAATATTTTAGCTTAAGCAACTTATCTAGCTTGATTACACCACTGAAGTTGTTTGATGAAAGCCTCAAGTATGTTAGGTTCTGGAGTTCATAAACTGATCTTGGAATTGGTCCCTGCAGCATATTGTTACTCAAATCTATAGAACTCAATGAATGTTGAACAAACAACCAAGATGGTATTGTCCCATTGAGTGAGTTATTTTGCAATCCAATGTAAATTAGCTTTGAAATCCAAACAGCATACGAAGGAATGGGACCTGTTAGCTGATTTTCAGAGAGGGGCAAGGGAATCCGGTATTTGCCCATTCAAATTGTTTTGGGAAAGATCCAAGTAAGTAAGCTTTGCAAGGTTTGAAATTGATGAAGGGATTTGACCACTGAACTTGATAGCCCAGAAGTCCAAATTGGTGATTTGTGTAAGGTTCCCAAGAGAAGTTGGAATGGACCCCGAAAAGTTGCACTCAAAGAGGTACAAACTATTCGAGGCTTTAAGATTGCTGATTGAATCAGGCAGTTGTCCAAAAATACTTGTCAGGGAGAGATCAAGAAACTGAAGAAAACTATGCCCAAATTATCCTGTACATTGAGCTTCCGCAGGTTTGGGAGGTGGAAAATGCTTTCTGGGAATTTCCCATGCCGTTGACAAGAAGCGAGACTCAGAGATGTCAAAGAAGATAGATTTAGTAGCAAAGCATGAACTAAAGGTGAAGGGATATCCAACGTATCAAGGTGTAGTTCTCTTAATTGGGTTAGGTTCTGAAGGAGCATATTGAAAGTGTGTTATTCATGTCTCACCTCATAATGAAAAAGAGACAGATCAAGGGAAATCAATTTGGATAGATGACAGATTTCTGAAGGAACTCTGCCTGTAAATAAAGAGTTGGAGAGGTTGAGATGGGTCAAACTTTCAAACGAGCCAAACTCGGATGAAATTCTAGAAAATTTGAAGTCATTCCAAGCAAGATTGAGCCTCTGGAGCTGATGAAGGTGGAATAGGGTGCTATTGGCTTCAATGGTGCCATGAAGCGCACTGCAACTGAGGTCAAGCCCAATTACATGACCATTCAACCAATTGCAAGTGACCCCCTCCCACGAGCAGCAATCAGTACTCTCATTCCAAAACATCATTTTAGGATGAGAATCAGATTCACACTCTAGGAAGGAAAAATCAATTGCAGTAAATGTTTTCTTAAATTGGAGTAGTGCGAATCTCTGGTCCTCAAGGCACGTATGGCGTGCAGAAGTAGGAGACGACCATGATGATGATGAACATGTAGTAATAACTACTAGTTGAGAAAACAAGAGAAATACCAGAAGAAGTTGATGAAGCCATATTAGCCAACTCATTTTCTCCTTATATAGGTAGGAATCAGAGAGATATCAAAAGGAGAGTAAGAAAGATAGTAGTTTGATGATGAAGAAAGAATAAATGTATTACTCATTCTTATACAGAGCTAAGTCACTCTATGGCGGTGGCACAGCAGCCTAGCCCATCAAGCACGGCATCTATGTAATTTTGTCCATCAGCCATCATGACTTCCAAGCTGGCAGCAGTGAGTCTGTGTCTTTAATTCCAGGGGTCCCAAAGCATTTAGTAATGGTTTTTCATAAACCAATGGGCAAATTACATCGGTAGTCTCCACATTTTACCCCTTGTGTCATTTTGGTCTAAGTAATTTCAATTAGCCTAATTTCAAACCCTTAATTTTAGATTTTGTGTTAATTGGTCCAATTCGCTGGTTAGGGTTCTTGAAAGAAAAATGTTACTAAGTTGGTTGAGGTTAGCTCATTGAATCGAACAAGTTCACAATTTTTTTCCTATACAAGCATGACACATGCCGCTCATGTATCCATTTTTCATCAAAAAGAACTTTTAGTTGTAATTAATTGGACTAAATTAGACAAAATTAAAAATTCATATCAAAATCGTGCCAATTGAAAATATTAAGACAAAAATGATACAAGAGCAAAAATATAAGTACTGCTAATATAATTTGCCCTGATCAATTAAAAGTTGGCAACGTCCTAGCTATTTACAAAGCAAGTAATGAAACATTTTGAGACTACTTTGCTTTTTATTGAACAAAAGCATAAGCTTAAGATTCATCATTTTTTGTTTTCTCACAGTTTGAAAAATATATAAATTTGCCAGGGTATTATTTTTCACAATTTCTTTAGTGGAATATTAAAAATATATATACTTTTTGGATTGAGGCAACATAAAATGATGAATCCTACATAGTTCTTTTGACCAAATTGCTGAGTATGATTTTGTTAACAAACAACCAAGATGGTATTGTCCCATTGAGTGAGTTATTTTGCAATCCAATGTAAATTAGCTTTGAAATCCAAACAGCATACGAAGGGATGGGACCTGTTAGCTGATTTTCAGAGAGGGGCAAGGGAATCCGGTATTTGCCCATTCAAATTGTTTTGGGAAAGATCCAAGTAAGTAAGCTTTGCAAGGTTTAAAATTGATGAAGGGATTTGACCGCTTAAACTGTTAGCCCAGAAGTCCAAATTGGTGATTTGTGTAAGGTTCCCAAGAGAAGTTGGAATGGACCCCGAAAAGTTGCACTCAAAGAGGTACAAACTATTCGAGGCTTTAAGATTGCTGATTGAATCAGGCAGTTGTCCAAAAATACTTGTCAGGGAGAGATCAAGAAACTGAAGAAAACTATGCCCAAATTATCCTGTGCATTGAGCTTTCGTAGGTTTGGGAGGTGGAAAATGCTTTCTGGGAATTTCCCATGCCGTTGACAAGAAGCAAGACTCAGAGATGTTAAAGAAGATAGATTTAGTAGCAAAGCATGAGCTAAAGGTGAAGGGATATCCAACGTATCAAGGTGTAGTTCTCTTAATTGGGTTAGGTTCTGAAGGAGCATATTGAAAGTGTGTTGTTCATGTCTCACCTCATAATGAAAAAGAGACAGATCAAGGGAAATCAATTTGGATAGATGACAGATTTCTGAAGGAACTCTGCCTGCAAATAAAGAGTTGGAGAGGTTGAGATGGGTCAAACTTGCAAACGAGCCAAACTCGGATGAAATTCTAGAAAATTTGAAGTCATTCCAAGCAAGATTGAGCCTATGGAGCTGATGAAGGTGGAAGAGGGTGCTATTGGCTTCAATGGTGCCATGAAGCGCACTGCAACTGAGGTCAAGCCCAATTACATGACCATTCAACCAATTGCAAGTGACCCCCTCCCACGAGCAGCAATCAGTACTCTCATTCCAAAACATCATTTTAGGATGAGAATCAGATTCACACTCTAGGAAGGAAAAATCAATTGCAGTAAATGTTTTCTTAAATTGGAGTAGTGCGAATCGCTGGTCCTCAAGGCACGTATGGCGTGCAGAAGTAGGAGAAGACCATGATGATGATGAACATGTAGTAATAACTACTAGTTGAGAAAACAAGAGAAATACCAGAAGAAGTTGATGAAGCCATATTAGCCAACTCATTTTCTCCTTATATAGGTAGGAATCAGAGAGATATCAAAAGGAGAGCAAGAAAGATAGTAGTTTGATGATGAAGAAAGAATAAATGTATTACTCATTCTTATACAGAGCTAAGTCACTCTATGGCGGTGGCACAGCAGCCACGGCATCTATGTAATTTTGTCCATCAGCCATCATGACTTCCAAGCTGGCAACAGTGAGTCTGTGTCTTTAATTCCAGGGGTCCCAAAGCATTTAGTAATGGTTTTTCATAAACCAATGGGCAAATTACATCGGTAGTCTCCACATTTTACCCCTTGTGCCATTTTGGTCTAAGTAATTTCAATTAGCCTAATTTCAAACCCTTAATTTTAGATTTTGTATTAATTGGTCCAATTCGCTGGTTAGGGTTCTTGAAAGAAAAATGTTACTAAGTTGGTTGAGGTTAGCTCATTGAATCGAACAAGTTTACAATTTTTTTCCTATACAAGCATGACACATGCCGCTCATGTCTCCATTTTTCATCAAAAAGAACTTTTAGTTGTAATTAATTGGACTAAATTAGACAAAATTAAAAATTCATATCAAAATCGTGCCAATTGAAATTATTAAGACAAAAATGATACAAGAGCAAAAATATAAGTACTGCTAATATAATTTGCCCTGATCAATTAAAAGTTGGCAACGTCCTAGCTATTTACAAAGCAAGTAATGAAACATTTTGAGACTACTTTGCTTTTTATTGAACAAAAGCATAAGCTTAAGATTCATCATTTTTTGTTTTCTCACAGTTTGAAAAATATATAAATTTGCCAGGGTATTATTTTTCACAATTTCTTTAGTGGAATATTAAAAATATATATACTTTTTGGATTGAGGCAACATAAAATGATGAATCCTACATAGTTCTTTTGACCAAATTGCTGAGTATGATTTTGTTTGATGTAGTTCGTTCAGTTTTTGCACTTAAAAAATATATTTTTGTAAGTAAATTAAAATTGTTTATATAATTGTTGTTCATATTTTGATAAGAATGGTAAAATTAGAATAAAGGATACTATTAAGGAAAAGTGAAGTTTTTTAGAATAAATTAGAAAAAAAAATAAGATTTAACTGTCTACATTGAAATTTAATAGGACTCATTAATACTTTCAAAATAAGATTTATTGATAATCTTTTTAAATTTAATTTTTTTTTTTTTTTTTTGAACGGATTGCTTTGCTCTAGTTCCCCTTGATAATTGTTATAGATAGGATGGGACAGAAACCAATTTGGTGTATGAGAGATTTCTAACGAATGTGATTCGAAATAAGAAGAAATTATTCTTTAGGACTGGCCTATATTCTATGTGATTTTCCCTTCCAAGTGTATGGGGCCATATAACTAATTTTCGTACATTTTCTCCTACATTTGAGACTATTGTTATAACATGGGCACAGAACCAAAAATTATCTAGTAAGTTCGGAATACCATGTGTCCTTGTGCCCGTCAAATAATATTATATAATTTCTCCACTATTTTTTATTTTTGAAGCCATGTATTTATTTAGCCCTTGCTATTCATTAGGCACACGGCCAACGTGAAATTCCCATAAAATAGAATAATTCCTTGCACATAACCACCTGGTAGAATGACAACTATGTAATTAATAAATTGAACTTGGGTTATGCTCAAATTACCAACGAATTTGAGCTGAATTTTTTTATCATCCACCCTTCAAAGACGACAATTATTTTATCATGCACCCTTCAAACAAGCTAGACCAACATTTAAATATTGATAGCACTAAAGTATCACCAAGTAATTAATTAGTAACACAATCTATGCTCATTTCCACCTCTTCAAATTTTAAAAAAAAAATTATTT